GGCCGGCCAGGTGGCACAGCAGTTAAGTTCACACGTTCCACTTTGGTGGCCCGGGCTTCACCAGTTCGGATCCCAGGTGTGGACCTAGCACCGCTTGTCAAGCCATGCTGTGGTAGGCATCCCACATATAAAGTAGAGGGAGATGGGAACCGATGTGAGCTCAGGGCCAGGCTTCCTCAGCAAAAAGAGGAGGATTGGTGGCAAATGTTAGCTCAGGGCTAATCTTCCTTAAAAAAGAAAAAGAAGAGGGGGAGAAAAGCAAAGAGTAAGATGTTGATTTAAACAGAAATATATTGGGGCCGGCCCAGTGGCCGAGTGGTTAAGTTCAAGTGCTCGGCTGCGGTGGCCCAGGGTTGCGCTGGTTCGGATCCTGGGTGCGGACATGGCACTGCTTGTCAGGCCACACTGAGGCAGCGTCCCACATGCCACAACTAGAAGGACCCACAACTAAAAAAATATACAACTATGTACTGGGGAGATTTGGAGAGAAAAAGCAGGAAAAAAAAAAAAGATTAAACAAAAATATACCATTAATTACATGAAATGTAAAAGGTCTAAATACTCCAATTAAAAATCAAAGATTGGCAGACTGGGGGCCGGCCTGGTGGCGCAGCAGTTAAGTGCGCACATTCCACTTCGGCAGCCCAGGGTCCGCCGGTTCGATCCCGGGTGCGGACATGGCACCGTTCATCAAGCCATGCTGTGGCAGGCATCCCACATATAAAGTAGAGGAAGATGGGCACGGATGTTAGCTCAGGGCCAGTCTTCCTCAGCAAAAAGAGGAGGATTGGCAGATGTTAGCTCAGGGCTAAGCTTCCTCAACAGAAAAAAAAAAAAAAGATTGGCAGATTGGATAGAGAAACAAAGCCCAACTAAATACTGTTTACAAGAGTCACATTTTAAATAAACAGAAGACACAGAAAGGTTGGAAGCAAAAGGATGAGAAAAAATATACCATATGAACACTAACTAAAGTAAAGCTGGTGTAGCCATATCAATAAGACAAAGTAGACTTCACAGCATGAAGCATTATGGGAGATAAAAAGAAGCATTTCCTAGCAAAAACTGGAGTAATTCCACCAGGAAGATAAGATCATTCTGAATTTTTAGGCACCTAATAATATAGCCTGAAAATACATAAACCAAAAACTGACAGAACTAAAAAGAGAAATGGCCAAATACACAATCACAGTGGGCATCAGTAACATAATAAGCAGCCAAAAATAAAGTTTTTGAGGATTTAGAAATAGGAGCACCCAAATTAACAATATTTTACCAATTGATATATACAAGCCACTGCACCCAACATCTGAAGAACACATATTTGTTTTTCCAATGTACATGAAACATTTACCAAAGCTGACCACCCACTAGGCTATAAAGTAAATTTCAACCAATAAAACTGTAATGCTTCAGATACCGTGGAGCTGATGCAACGACATCTAAACAGCCCAGCGATACAGAATCCAGAAACATACCCACTCACCTACAGGCATTTAACTTCTGAAAAAGGTATGCAGCACAGTACTGGTGAAAGGATAGTCTTTTCAAAAATGGTGCTAGGGTAACTGGATAACCATATAAAAAAATGAAATTTGGGGGCCAGGCTGGTGGTATAGCACTAAGTTCGTGCACTCTGCTTCAGTGGCCCAGGGTTAGCCAATTCAGATGCTGGACACGGACCTACGTACCTCTCACCAAGCCATGTTTTGGCAGGTGTCCCACATATAAAACAGAGGAAGATGAGCACAGATGCTAGCTCAGGGCCAATCTTCCTCAAAAAAAAAAGAAAAAAGAAAAAAGAAAAGAAATTTGACCTCTATCTCATACCACATACTAACATCAATTCCAGGTGGATTTTAGAGCTATATGTAAATAGTTAAACAATAACACTTCAAGAACATATAATAAGATCTTACGCTATAGCTTTAGGGTAAGGAAAGATTCTTAAACTGAACACAAAAAGTATTGCATAAAGGAAAAGATGAACACATTGAACTACTACTCTATGCATCAAAATGCCATTAGAAGAGTGAAAAGGCAAGCCACAGAGTGGAAAAAACACTTTTAGCATATATAACCAACAAAGGGCCACTACCTAGAATATATAAAGAAATTCTACAATTTGGTTTTTTCAAAATGACAGAAAATCCTACAGAAAAATGGACAACTGACTTAAGTGTCACACACATAGACACAAAAAAGGGATTTCAAAATGGCCAATAAACAGATGAAGAGTTCTCAACCTCAAGGAAATGCAAATTAAAACCACAATGAAATAACATCACCGCCCACCAGAGTAGCAAAGATTATTAAGACTGATCATAACAACTATGTGACATAACTGGAACTCTTATGTACTCCTGGTGGGAGTATAATTGTTATAGACTTTTTGAAAAAAAAATGTCTTTTTGGCATTATCTTCTAAAGTTGAACATAGACATACCCTAAGACCCGGCATTTCACACCTACATACATATATATACTCATTGGAAATGTCTACAGATACACCAGAAGACACGTACAAGATTAACAGCAATAATCATCAAAAATAAGAGACAACCCAGATGTTAGCCAACAAGAAGTCGTGGCATATTCACACAATAGGTTAGTCTCCAGCGACAAAAATGAGTATACTGCTGTTACCCACAGCAGTATGGCTCATCTCAACAGGCTAGCAAAAGAAGCCAGACGCAAAACACACCTACTGCATGATTCCACTCAAATAAAGCTAAAAACCAACCAAATTCCTCTGTGGTATTAGATGTGGGGATAGGGGTGACCTCTGCAAAGGAGAGAGGAGGTAGTGTTTGGGAGGGGGCACACGCGAGTCACCTGAGGTCCTAGGAATGCATCTCCTGTTTCTTAAACTGGGGGGTGGTTACTTATGTGTGTTCACTTTGGCATAATTTATTGAGCTATATACTTAGGATTAGTACACTTTTTTGGATGTATGGTATTCTTCAAATAAAAGGTACAAAAAAACCCCACAATGAACTGCCAAGGAAAATGAATGACTATGCCGAGCAAGCAATTTATCAACACAAAATTAGCAAGCGCTTCTCACCCAGGGTTTCTCCTACAACAATTAGACAGTGGCCGGAGCTGGAGTCATTTCAAAGGCTTCCTCAGACACAGGCATGGCAGGTGATGCTGGCAGCTGGGCTGTCACCTAGAAGACCTACATTTGGCCTCTCCCTGTGGTCTGGGTTTCCTCAGAGCATGGGGGCTAAATTACAAAAGAGAAAGAGCGAGGCAGAGGCTGTATAGCCGTACAAGCCAGCCTCAGAACTAGTCACTTCCTCAGTCACCTCCATGGACTCTGCTCGTGAAAAGTGAGTGAGGCAAGTCCACACAGACCCCACCTCTAGATGGGAGCAACATCTACGCATAGGTGGACGTGTTTTAAAATGACCACAGTCTGACGCTGTCCACAAATTATTGACTCTCATCTCAGAAGCAAAATACATTCATTCCCTCCTTCGAAGATCTTCACAGAATCCCATTTATTATGACAGCATCAGGTTAAGGTTCAAGGTCCAAGAGCTTATTGTCTAAATCAAGTTCAGGGGCAGATGAGGTTCCTTGAGTGTGGTTCCATGGGAGCAGATCCTTCACTACCATTCCTCTTGATATGAAGACCTATAAACTAACAAGACAAACTACATGCCTCCCTACACAGACCACCCAACATACTATGGTGGGACGGGCATGGATAACTGCTCCAGACACTCTGCTACAAAGGGGGAAGCAGGAGGCACACAGCAGATCCTGGCCCACACAAGTCTGAGATCCAGCCAGCGTTGCCAGTTGCTTCATGAGGGCTTAGTCCTACTGTCTGGGAATGACTCTCTAGGGCTCTTCTCCACCCTCTGGGTTCTTGGTTCCATCCTGTAAACTCTCCTTCCTTTTTCATAAAATGTAGCTCAGTAGTAGTTTTCTCAGCCTGCTTCCTCCCCTTAGAAATCCAGGGGTCCAGACTCCTCTTCATTTTAGACTCTCTCAGTACCTTTTAGCCAAAGCCGGCAGTGTTTCCTTCACTACAATTCTCTTAAAAACTTTGCGAATTTTCTCTGAGTCATATTGGGGTTCACTGCATTCGACCAAAGCCATACTGATAAATCCTGTTGAGATAAGTACTTCTCTACCTTGAAAACTGCTATGGAATAATGTCCTTAAGACTATTAGAAGCTCTATTATTTTTTTTTTACTGTTTTTTTTTTATTGTGGTCATAATAGTTTATAACATTGTGAAATTTCAGTTGTACATTATTTGTCAGATACCATATAAGTGTGCCCCTTCACCCCTTGTGCCCACCCCCTACCTGCTCCCCCGTGGTAACCACTAAATTGTTCTCTTTGTCCGTTAAGTTAGTTTATCTTCCACATATGAGTGAAATTATACGCTGTTTGTCTTTCTCTGTCTGCCTTATTTCACTTAACATAACACCCTCAAGGTCCATCCATGTGGTTGCAAATGGGACGATTTTGTCTTTTTTATGGCTAAGTAGTATTCCATTGTATATATACATCTTATTAGAAGCTCTATTTAATCTCTACTTAATGAAAGAAAATCTGTGAGGCACATCCTTAAAGTCTTAAGAGGGCCTTTTGTCTGTTTGAAAGGGTCTGTAAGACACCATCTTAAATCATTCTGAGGTCTTGACAAAGGGGTTTACAGCGACATCTGACTTCATCTGTAGATCATGTCTTCCTGATAGCACCTTTGGACTTCATCTTTGCCCACAGCCATGTCTTACTTTTAGAATCATCTACCATCTGGAGAGGCTGAGAATGAGAAAACAAACAGTTTTTTTTTTTTTTAGGAAGATTAGCCCTGAGCTAACATCTGTTGCCAATCCTCCTCTTTTTGCTGAGGAAGACTGGCCCTGAGCTAACATCCGTGCCCATCTTCCTTTACTTTATATGTGGGACGCCTGCCACAGCATGGCTTGCCAAGCAGTGCCATGTCCGCATCCAGGACCCGAACCGGCGAACCCCGAGCCACCGAACGCCAAGCCGCCGAAGCAGAACGTGTGAACTTAACCACCGTGCCACCAGGCTGGCCCCAAGTAAATTGATTTTTGAACCCAGTGAGTCATGGCTAATTTATATTTAACATCTTGTATTTTAGCTCATCTCTCTTCTCTCCTCATTTTATTACAGACAGGAAGGAAAAACCAGGTGGCACTTTGAACCTCTGCCTGGAAATCTTAGCTAGAGCATCTGATTCATTAGGTGCATCTTCTGTGTTCCGTTTTATTGCAGGTGATTATGTTGCCAAACTTTCCTCTACTATATAACAAATAAATCCTTTCCTTCAATTTCCAATAACGTTTAAGCCCTCACGGACAGGCTTCTTGATGACCTTTAGGTTTCTGCTAACCTATCAAGGTCCTTACAAGCTTCAGTCCACTGCCTGGTTCCCAAAGGCGATGCGATCTTTTCAGGTTATTTTATAGCAGCATTCCACTTCCACGTACTAAAATCTGTGCCAGTTGTCGACTGCTATATAAGAAATCACTTCAAAACTTAGAGGCTTAAAACAAAAACAATCATATAGCTTACAGATCTATGATTCTAATCAAATTGCAAAACAAAGGCTTCAGTGGAAACATTTGTCCTATGTGTAAAGTCGACATTCCACAGGTAAGGAGGCTAATTTTTTAGTACTTAGTTATCACTGGACAGTATTAGAAATGTCTCTGAAAATTAAAAATAGCTAATATTTACAAGTGCTACTAAACCTTTCAGCCTCTGATTTCCCAAAGGCAAGCAATACAGGACCAAAGCTGGTGGTATGGGACTCAAGAGTTCTAGGCTTCTGTCCTGGGTGTGCCTCACACTATCTGACTGTGGACAGAGTTCTCTGGACCTTAGTTTGCTCATCTGAAACGTGAAAGCCTGGACTGAATACTTCCTAATTCCTTTCTGCACTCATAGTGGGTGATTATAAATTAACTAGATTAAAAATAATAAATGAACAGTTCTCAGAGTTGCTCTTTACAGGACTCGTCAGAGCCTCCAAAGCCTGGAAACGGGCGTGCAGGGGCCCTCCCGGCACAGCTCTCCTTTTGCTGGAGCTGCCGTGTGAACCTGAGCTCAGATGCGACCCAGGCCACCTGCAGTTCCGGAATGGTCTGGGCTTGTCTTGTTTGTTCTCCCCTGACCCCTGTGCCCAGGCATAAGCTATTCACCTCTCTGCCTAGAAGGCGTTTGTCGCCCTGGCACATTCTCTTTTTCCTCCAACTTAGACCAAAGTCCTGTCCTTGAAGAAACTCAAAGAAAGATCTTGAGGCAGGGCACAGTACTTTCTTTCCCCATCCCCCAAATCCTGGTAGGCTGTAAAAGAATAGCCACATCTTTATGACATCAAGTACGACACTGCCGCATTTTCGGGGTGTGCTTTTGCTTTTGTCCGTCCACTGTACTAATGATGAGACTTGGCGGACAGGAGCTACACTTCTGGTCATCTCTGTTTCTTTAACATCTGGGACAGTACCTGGTATACGCTAGAAAATCAACAAACACTTGCTGAGTAAATGCATTTTAACTCTGCTGATAATGAGGCCCAGGAAGCCAGAGTCTTTCAAACAGTCAACGTTCAGGACCGTAGAGATCAACACTGCTATACCGTGGGGATCATTACAAGCTGTTAAAGTCAAGCTGGGCTTACGGTTTAGTTCAGACATAACATATTACTCTAAAGCGGGTACTCTGGAAGCGGTTAACTGCAAGCATAGAATATTAATCATTGTTTAAAAATCTACAGTCTTTGCCATTACTACAGCTTTTTAAAACAGACTTATTGAGATCTAATTCACTATCACACAATTTACCCCTTCAAAGTATGTAATTCAGTGATTCCCAGTATATTCACAGAGCTGTCCGGCTATCACCACAATCTAATTCTGGAACATTTTCTTCGCCCCAGAGAGAAACCCTCTCCCCATTACAGTCTCTCCTCGTGCCTCCCGTCATGGCCCCTGGCAATGACAAGTCTATTTCCGTAGCTATGGAGTTGCCTATTCTGGACATTTCCTGGAAATAAAATCATACAATATATGGTCTTTTGTGACTGGCTTCTTTCATTTAGCATAATGTTTTCAGGGTTCATCCACGTTAGATTACGACTTCTTATCTTTTATAGTGTTTTCAAAAGTAAGAACTAGAAGAGAAACGTGTCCTCATTACTTCTGAAAATCTCCTGCAGGCAGCATAACATAAAAAGAGCTCCCTGAGTGAAGGAGAAAAGGATGAGATTCAGAGGAACTCGAGGACTATTTTAAAAATAATTTTTATTTTAGTTAGTTTTACTTGGTACATAATTTTTTAAAGACATTTACTAAGAGAGAGTCAGTAACTGATTTTGTCGAGTTTTTCTTGAATGCAAAAAGGAAGGTCGGAGTCTTCGCGGATGGGCAGGGATCAACACCAACTGATGGAGAGGCTGACAGCTGCCCGTTACTCCATGCTGTCCACACAGCCGAGACACTGACAAATGGGACACGTGCACAACACCACAGACACCGGATTCCAGTATAAAGAATCAGGGTGAGTTTTTATCAGATCTTCTAAGAAATGTTTCAAATTGAACCCCCAAGCATACCAAAACTACTTTGGTTTGCTCAGCTCAGTGGAGTCAAGCAAATTACAGAACTGAAGTTAATGAGGGTTCACTGGGGGTCTCTGTACCAGCACTGCCTTCAGCATAGACGTGGGGTTACGATCTAGTTTTGGAGACTATATGAGTTAAGGAAATACTACAAGACTGTCTATGAATGAATAAATACCGAAATAAATGTGTGGTGTAGATAACAGCAGTACACATTTTAACAACGGGAGCTACAAAACAGATTTTAAAATGAAATTCTGTCCTGTTGTCACATGTGAGCTTATAAAGCATTAGAATGTACAGGAGTGTGTTATTTCAACTGCAGCAAAGCTGACTGGACTACCGACATTCTATTGTTAATCTGACTTTAATTATAGCAGGAAAACAGCTCCAAAATAGTGCTAATTTTCTTATGGTAGTGAAATAGTACTACATTAAGCAATGCTTCAAAAAACAGGTCACAGGCTAAGGGCTGGAGATCTTTGTTATACAAAAGCTATAAAACATGAAAAAAAATAGAATTGTTATCTCAGGATATTCTACTTTTTTAAGAGTTATAGGAAAATTGGCTATACTCAATAAAAAGACTCAAAGTTTTTTCTAAGAACTATAAGATTTTAAGTTATATATATTTTTTGTACATAGTTTTCTAAAGTTGGATCTCATCCTGAAAGATTAAATAGTCTAACTCTAAATAAAGGGGACAGAAGATTTCTAATGCAAAATAGTTTCCCCATCTGAAATCATTTTACCCAAAAATAATTTTGAGCAGAGAGAAATTCAAGCACATTTCAATATGGGCTTTTGGTATAAGAGAAAATTACTATAGAAGCTTTAGTCCTAAAAACTCGAGTTATGAACTGTCCAAACAGCAAATCAATTTATCTCAGCTAATGTAAGACAAGTAGAAAATAATGAATCACAGTCCTTCATCTTTTAGATTTGTACACTTCACAAAACTAGTATAGAGTTTTTAAAAATAACACATTTATAATAACGTTTTATTTCCAAGGCTCATAATCTTATGATCAGTATTAATTTTATCAATAACAACAACAACCAGAGTCCTTTCCTGTCTCGAAAAACCACTGAGCTCAACACGGACTGAAGCTGCCGAGCCTGCCAAACCTCCGGTGGGTCACTCCCAAACCTCCAGCCCGACCACATCCTGCCTCACGGGGACGCAGCTCGGCCGGTGCGGTCCACAGGGCTCTTCCCTGCGCGGTGAATGACGCAGAGGTCGTGCTTAATAACAGGCACTCCTGCCTCCCTTTTAAAGAGACAAAGACAATAGGAAAGCTGGATGGGAAAATGCCCGGCCGCTCTGTCCCTCGTCTGAACCGCCTCTCACTTTTCCCACAACAGGTAGGCACAAGCACAGACTGCTGCTGAATGCTCTCGATCTTGCCAAGATGCTGAAACCCACTGGTTTCTGCGGTTGTCCCATTTTCTCCTCATCCTGGCTCTCTGCCAGAGCCTAATTAAGCCACTGAAAATGCCGGATGGTTAACCCTCTCTGCACTGCACCCACCTACAATTATTTGCAAAGCACTTTGATATGCTTTCACTTCCCCAAGGATAAAGATAAGCACCGGACTGTACCAACACACAGCAGGGCGAGCGTGGGCGGGTGCGTGCAGGTGTCCACAGCCCAGCACTTGCCACCAGAACTCACTGTGAAGGAGGAGAGACTCAACAGCTAAGGCTAGGGTTCAGGAAACGACTCCAAAATATACACGTGCGGTTTGGTTTTATTTGTTAGGGTTTGCAGCAGAGTGCAGAAGAATTCTACGTTTTAATCATGTTTAAATCTTAGGGAAATAATTTTCCGTTAAGAAAAAACCCAAGTATTCAGACCACAATGTCTGCTGTGAATCCTTTTACTGAATGAACAAAACAGTATAGAGCTTTTGAAATTCCCAGAGCCATGGCTGTTCATTAAAAAAGAAAGCACCCTTTTAAGATTTAGGTGCTTTATCTCTTACAAAATGAAAAGATCAAACAGAAAACCTTATTTGTAAGCAAAGCAATAGTGTCTCTGGGTCTCTTGCTAAGACCAACAGCAACGAGGATGAATGAGGGGAAGCAGTGACAATGGTCAAAACGGGTGAAAGGAAGCTCTCTGTTGAGGACAGCCTTCCCTGATTGCAATCTTTAGACCCGAGGCCCATAACTCTGTTTAACTACTATATCCTGCATACAAAGTTAATTCTGCTCTGATGAGAAGCAAGTGCACTTACATGATGAGAGAAACACCGAGTAACCTAACTGAGCCCACACAATCTGGTATCAGAGAAGATCTGTATTTCAACATAATTTAAGAATATCTCAATTGGATTCAAGAGAAACACAGGAAATCGATTAGTCAGGCTAATTATTCTGTCCTTCTGACAAGAGGGTGTCCCACTATACCCAACACGTAATTAAGTAATCTCTTCTCATTCGATGTTCTCTAGCGACAGACATCTGCTACAGATGTTCAGCTTCCATCTTTCTCTTAACAATGAGGCAATTTTAAATGGACCAAAGTGACAGGAGTCACTTTTCAGCTATCCAGTGCCAAATTCACATTCCCATTTTATCCCAATAGTTTTTCCCCATTCTTCTTGCACTTTGATTACTTGCACTTAGAATTCCTATTACTTGGTAGAAAAATAACACCAAAATTGAGCTTTCCCTAATAATATAGTAGACACACGGGAATATTTCTATCTGGTGAGGACAGAAAATGTCACACCTATACAGCACCACAATATGGCCAAAACAAAAGAGCGGCTAATTAATTGCTGGCCAAGAGCCATGTTCTTTCCAAATCAAGGCTTCTGCAAGATGGCATATGGTTTGTTATTTCTTACAAATATGAAAACCCTTTTGAAGTGGTTACACTTAGTATCTGTCAAAATAATTCCGTATATGAAACAGCAACATGAAAAAAAGCATTATTTGTAAAAAAAAAAAAAAAAAAGATTTCATTATAAGAATCTGAAAATAGTTTTCATTTCTAAGGGTTAAGATAGTGACTTACCGGTAGGCATTTTAGTAAATATTTTAATTCCACACAGTGTTCCATGTAGAAGACGCCAACTTTACTAAGGAACATAAACAAGAAATATTATTTTTAAAGTGGAAAGAATATTTCTTCGTTATTGGCCCACATTTTCAAAGGCAGAACACATTCAGTTTTTGATATTTTACTGTATTATTTATTCTATTAAATTCACTCACTATGCCATTTTTTCAAAATTGTGCTTGTGCTGAGGATGGTAAAAAGCAAGGCATTTAATCTGAGTTCGCTGAGGGTAAGAGTTTAATGCTCTTCATCTTTGTATCTCCAGCATGTAGGATGCAGGAGGTGATGAATTGCTCCCCTTTGCAAAACCACCACGAGCTCGAAGAGCCCAGTGCAACGAAGCCAGCACACTCTGAGCTGCCCACACCAGGAAGGCACGAACTGAGCCGGGCTCACAGGACCTGGCTCAAAAGGCTGCAGAATCCAGGCTCTTAGGCATCCTGAGTGCTCTCTCATCGAGGTCCCAATGGGACTGGTAACTATCCACTCAGAGAGACGCTGAATCAAAACAGGTAGGAGACAGAAAGGGCCAAAACCTTAGGAAAACCTTGAAGTTACAAGGTCTTCAAACTGTTTTTCTCTGTCTCCTGCATCAGTTCCACTCCTGATACACGTCGTAGGCTACTAGTGACAGTGTGAATCAGAAAAACTAATACAACAGATTTTTACTTTTAAATTGTACCCCAATCCCTAGCACAGTCTATCACCTACTAGGCTTTTAATGAATATTGTTAAATCACGAATTGTGGAGGTGAATGAAAATATATGTATAGAGTACTCTAGTGGTAAATGGATTTTCATGTTTGACGGGAAAACATTTCTACGCATTTTTTACTTCTACTAACAGAAAAGTAGCTCTTCTCCAGGACTGATTTATTCATAATTTTTGCTGTTTAGAATACTGGAAGAAACTACAAAGAATAGGCTTTACTAACATAATTAATAGCCATAAGCTTCAATTCACCCCAATGTACCTGTCCTGCCTGGGGTACATGGACCTCTTACAAACACCACCGTCCTCTGGGGGAGCGGTCGGTGAGACCCGTGGGTAAAATCAGAAGGCAGGCAAGCAAAACGAAGTCAGGAGAGGCTGCCCTTTCTAAGTGACTTAGTGTGATGACGGGATCGTAGAGGACGGAAACATAAAAATTATCTTGACCTCGCACTCCTTAAAAACTAAAACTGGACCAAGATTACTCAATCTGGAGTCATGGGAAAGCACCGTGATATCAAAGGAAAACACATGCAAACAGCTGCGGCAGAGGCTGGCTCAGAGTATCCACCTTGTTGATCTTTTAGTATTCCTAACCCATTATCCACTTTCAGTTAAAAATCATTAACGTCCAGCATATAAGAACCTAGACACAGGACAAAACACACCTATTTTTTCCTATGGGGGCGGTAACCAGGTGTCAACAGCTGCAGCTGTGACTATATGATCACCTGTTTGCATGAAGGCAGACCACAGATAGATTTAATAGGTCAGATGACAATGCAGCAAAATGCATTTAGCCTATGATTACCCCTTTTCAAACATTCTCTCACTCGCAACTTCGACCCTGGGAACATAGCAGGCACAGACTTAGGTCAATAAGAAACACTGGCCGGCACAATAGGCCTTGCCTCAAACAGCGCTGTTGACAGACACCAGCACAAAGGACGTGAATAGAGTCCCCCTCAGTTCTCACACAGAGCGAAGAATGACTCAGTGTACTGCCGCTTTGGAGCTCTGTTTGTACAGTGTATACAGCTTTTGTCCTCGGCCACTGTTCGCAGCTCAATGGGGGCTAAGGGCCGAGGAAGTGAAGGCGGAGAATGCTCCACGCTCTCCCCTGTGGCCGGCAGTTGGATCCATATGCACATGACAGGTCAAGTGAGAACTGGAAAGTCACTAGATAAAACTCGTCCCACCCCACTTACAGGAGGACAGTGATTTTTAAGTTAAAAAACAAAGAAGGCATTATTTAGAGAGCCCAGAAAAGCCACCATTAGTTTGGTATTAATATAGTTATTGATTGAATTATGTTCGTTTGGCTTTTTCTTTTGTCATATTTGTCATATTTCTTTTTCAAAGGCTTGTTTTGGGCACAAAAAGACAGCAGGACTGGCTGGAAGTCGGCAACTAAAGTAAGGCGGGCCAGGACTCCACAGAGGCCACGGGGACAGGGCCAGACAGCAGGTGAGGAGGCATTAGCAAGGCGGGCAGGGGCATTTCGTTCCTGGTATAGTAATATCACATTGCCCCAAGTATCTACATATTTCTCTTCATGTCTACTCCTCAAGGTAATGGGGATATAACAATAAGGAACCAAACCCAGGGATAAAATAGAATTCTAAGACAATTCAGGGGAGACTCTAAACAGACAGCTTCCATAGGCTTAAACTGGTTTGCTTGATACTGGCCAAGAAAACCTAGCTAAAGCAAAGGACAAACTCCCATGCTGAATGAAATGTCACTTGGCACTAAGCCAAAAACACCTTGGCAGAATTGCATCTGCGTCTAAGCATACATGTTTTGGAATACCGTGTTCAAATTCTGGTTCTGCTCATTACTTTGTATAACCCCTCCATATCTTAATTTTTACATCTGTAAAATGGGAGGTCCATCCTTTCTTTATTCAAAAAAAATTGAGATAATAAATAGTATGCATTTCATTGGTTGCTGTGAAAACAAAGTCGGTTAACCCACGTAAGACACCTAGAAGAGGACCTGGTACCATTGCCTATGATGAGTGTAGCCCCCATTGCTGTGAGTACCACTACTACAATTCTACAACCACTACTAACATCACAAATACCACCAGCACTCCTACACTAAGGTCACTGCTCTATTCGTGAGTCCAGGAAAATTCTTACCAGATGATTGAGATCATTGATCCTTGAGTCCATGAGGATATCCCCTTTACCCAAAGGTTGTTTTTAGTGGTCTCTAGTAAAGAGATAAATGTAAGCTTTACAGATGCTATATATGTGATATAGCTATATATAAAACCTATTAATATTCAAACTTTTAAAAATGTGTATGACGAATTTTTTGCAAAATCTACATCAATGTACAGCCTAATAATTATTCCCAGGGGAGAAAACAACAGCAAGCATTAATTAAATTACTTGCTATTCTAGGGGCCAGATATTACTCTAAATGATTTATCTAAGGTACTATTATTTTTCCAGTAAAGAAACTGAAAGACAAAGCATTAAGGAACTCTTCAAGATCACACTGTTAAGTAAGCAAACCCAGGCATTCTGACTTTCAATCTTGCCCATGGAAAGAAGTCACTTTCTTAGAGGGTTCTGGCATAGAGTCAAACCATATATCCACAGGAGGCTCATAAACGATAATATACCATGAATTAAAATATGCTTAACGTATATCCTTTCATCCTTTGTGAAGAACAGTCAGTTGCTGACCACATCTAGTCTAGGAGGAGTCATAAAGAAAAATGTTTTGTTTAATTGCTTTCATAAATCTTCATCACCACATAAGCATAATTATTTTCATGTTTATGAATTTAATCTTACATGTTAACTATATCTGTAATGATTCTGAGAATGCAAAGAAGTTAATTAATGAAAAGTACTGCCTAAAGGATGGATGCTTTAAGCATATAAGTGATTACTTAAAAGAAAAACAATGTCCCTCATTTTAATAATTTTCAAATGGCTCCCCACTTTTAAATCTTTCATGGTATTGGTGAAGGAAACATCAGTATCAAGCAAGAACCATGTTAGCAGCTGAAGTAAAATTTTGCACTTATTTAAAAGTTCATTCCATCTGGCTCTGGCTTAATTTATTTTTCAAAATCTAAACTTATAAACATATACAAAAATTCATGAATGATCCTGATTATAATTAAATTAAAAATGAAGGTAACAGACTTCCATAGTCAGCAGTATGTTAGAATGAGTAACCTGACCAAAGCTTCTGCTAAAAAGAAAGAAACATAGTGGTTAAAATACCAAAACATTTTCTTTAGTTGTATCATTGAGTCAGCAATTTAGAATTGATTATAGAAAGACAGAAAACAAAAACAGAGCTGGAACTCGAAGAATAAATAGAGCACCAAAGCCGGGCTTTGCAAAACTTGAGCTTCTTTTAACATGTCTACGATACAAAGGGCCACTACATAATGGAAAAAAGGGAGAAAATTCCTAGAAGATAGGAAAATTCTAACCTTGTATAAAAGTGGTCAGTCTCATTTTATTGAGTAAAAATTAAAAGGATTACTAGCAGAAAAGACAAATCTACCATCAAAATTGTTTTATAAATGGACCATTTACAAAAACTGACCAAAGACTAGACTGAAAAGGAAGTTTGAACACATTTCAAAAAAGTGGTGTCACTTCCTCTGATCATAATACAATCACACTAGAAACTAATAATTAAAAAATCTCACTTATTTGGAAATCTGAATCAGATTCTATATAACATGAGTCAAAGAAGAAATAATGGAATTTGGAAAGTACATGAAAAATATATAAATATCAGCAGAGTTGCTCAAATGTACTATATAACAGCGTCATATAAACTAATAAAGCACTTAAAATCTTTGTGAACTGATTTATTTAACGGCCTGCAGTTTGTCTGGCTGTAGTTGTCATCACTCATAAAAAGAATACTTCACTAGCACAGTATATAAACATGTACGTTATGTATGAAAATGTGACCTGTATTCTTTCATTATAATAAATTCCGTCTACCTCACTTTATATTTATCAGGAGCCTTCCTTGACTGGGCTATCCCAAGGTATAATTTGCTTGCGTTAGTTTGGCATCTTAAAATTTTCCATCTTAAAGGCATACGATTATGATTCTTTGACTCTGATGTACACACCTTTTTTAAACAACCACTAAGCAACTGCACAGATGCATTTAAAGCAATCCTGAGTCCTGAATGCTATAGACTGAATGTTAGTCTCTTCCAAAATTCTTGTGTTAAGTTCCAGCGCCCAAGGTAACGTGACACTAGGGGGTGGGGCCTTTGGGAGGTGATTCTATCACGAGGGTGGAACCCGGATGAGTGGAATTAGTGACCTTATCAAACACATCTCAAAGAGCTCCCTTGCTCACACCACGTAGAACACAGCACGCAGACGGTCGCCTATGAGCAGGGCGCAAGCCCTCACCAGACCCCAAATCTGCCAGAGCCCAGACTGTGGGACCTCCTAGACGTCAGAACTGGGAGAAAGAAATGTTTTGCTGTTTAAGCCACCAGGTAGGTGGTATTTTTGTTACAGCAGGCCAAACAGACTAAGACACTAAATAAGTGCCATTTTCTCCATATTCATCAAGCGGCTACAAAACTTGGCAACCATCATTTGAAAAGGGGAGGGGAAAGAATAGTAAAAATCAGAACCTTAAACTAAGTGTTTAGAGATATACCAGATATGTACCTGGGACTTAAAAATTTGTGTTCGAATGCATACCACTGCGTTTCCCACTCTAAAGTGCTGATTCTGGTAATGTTCAATCCAAAGGCCTGGACATATGAAGGCCTGAGCTGCGCCTCCAATCACTGAATCCCAGTATGTCGTCTAAAGACTAAGTACTTTTCAAAGATGGTAAGGCTGGTGTGCCTGACAGCACGTGCTGGCAGCATATCTTCTGACAACACCAAGAAGGAAAGTGAGAGCAGGAAGTACTGGCTCCCAGAAATAGAAATTAACCTAAACTACCTTAAGAAGAGAGAGGGAGAAAATGACTTCATGATAGGGATACATGGGTGCCTTAAGAAACCCAGAGCAGCTTCGAGAAGGGCTGGGCCTCGACACTGAGAAGCCATGAGAGACTCGAGCAGCCGTCTCCCTCTCGCGAGTCTCACCTCTCTTCTCTCCACAGGTCTGCATAATTCCTCTTTCCTTGAACCAGCTTTCTGTGTTTTCCAGTCTGCGTGGCATATCACACGGCTGCTCAAAGCCCTTGAATTTACATGTTAACGCCCCACATGTGAGGAGACTAATCATCTTTCTCTTGTTGCCAATTCCAGATTCCAGGGGATGGGACTTGGATGGGTTCCAGCTTGGCTCAGGCACCTGCTCCGCTCTAATCAGGTGGAAAAGGCCACATGGCCTCACCAGGGCTGCACACAGACCGCTGCTTAGGTGGTTGGGTAGCCAAGGGTGCTGTTGTGTGCTGGAAGCTGCAAAAGGCACTCAGCATGAGCAAGAAGCAAGTGCTGCGCACAAGCGACACGCTCTCTGATGGGATCTTCACACCACCCCGCACCTGGCGGGAGGTTGGATCATCAAGGTTGAGGGTGTTGCCTGAGGCCTCGGGTAGAGGAACAGGATGGCATTTGGCCTCAGGCAAAGAGGTGGAGGGTTAATTTCCTCCAGCAGCAGCAGAGTGTACAACACAGAGGTGTGGCCAGCACTGCCCCAAGAAGCTGACAGGTCATGTTTGAATCCAATCCTTCCTCTCCACTTTCTCTGCCCTTGGCCAGGCAGAGATTCTTCTGACAGAACCACTAAGCTTCCTCTCCTTGGAGCCTTTATGAACTACCTTGAGTTTCTGTTTCCTATACTGAACATTCTGCCCGGCCTCAACTCATATAATCTGATACACACCATTTATATTATCTCAACTGCACAGATTCAAATAAGTAAAGTTACTCTGGCAAAATGATTTTGCTCATCGCTCAGGGAAAGAATGGTTATCCACCCCTTTGCTCAGCTTATAAATCCTGACACAATCCTTGATCTCTTTTCTATCTCCTTCCTGCTTACTTACCTATCAATTCTTACTCTGAAATATCTTTTTAATCAGTCCCCTGAATTCTACCAACAATGCCACAGTCTTAATTCAAGATCTTACCTCTTTTCTGAATTTTTGGAATAGCTCCCTAATTGATCTGCTTGCCTCCACATCTCCCATATATATTACACTAGCTTCACTAATTTCCATTTTAAAGCAAAATGCTGTCCTTATTGCACCACACCCCTGCTTAAACGTCTCTACACTTCCTCGCAGCCTGTAGCAGAGGTCCCCAAGCATGCCTGTCCATCAGACCCCCAGGGTTCCTAGTCCTCATCCTAAACTTTCTGAACCAGAATAACCGAGAGGGGAGCTTAGAAATTTGCCTTTTTAACGAACTCCCCCCTTGATGCTGAGATATCCAGCCCAGATTTGTGTTCCGGAATTGTTCTATAATAGAAAGCCCAGGCTCTCTGAACAGAACATAAGTCAGTTCAATCTGATTCCAACCCACCCTTTCTAGTCTCATCCAGTCACTTTCCCTTCACAACCATCCCCACAACACGCAACCCTTTCCTACTGCTGGGCATCCATACATGCCTTCTCTTCTCTACTTAGGGAACTTCTACTCATTCTTTAGAAATCAGTTCAAATGCCACCTCCTCTCTGCAGTCTTCCCTGACTGCCCCGAGCATTAATTCTTTCTTGATTATAGAGTTTAAGAGGCAGTCTGGAGTGGTGGCCAAGAGTACAGGCTCTGCAGCCAGACTGTGAATGCTGGAATCCAGGCTCTGCCAAGTACTGACGAGAAAGTCAGTAACACGTGACCTCAGACAAGTTTTTCGACCTCTCTGTGCCCTTAGTTGCCTTCACTGTAAATTAGGAATAACAGTGTGTGTCTGATGTAATGGTCGCGAGGGTTAATGAATTAATGCACGTTAAGGCATTTGCCTGGTCATAGAAATTGGTCATTAAATATTAGCTTCCTGGTTAGAAGTTATTCCTATCTCTTAGACCAGGAACCAGCTGATCAATTCAAGAATTCTCTTTCTTGGTTGTGGTACGAAGCCAAAAAAATATATAGTAGTTTATATACAAACTTCAACATAACTTCTTTTCATTTACTTATCAAAAGGTGACTAAGGATGATGTAGTAAACCTTTTTAAGGAAAAAAAAAAGTCATTTATATGGGAGGGGTTGCCTTTTGAAGTCATTTGCTAGGGAGGCAGAAACAACTTGGAAATCTTAGATATCTATTTGAATTTCAAAGAAGGAAGATTTTAATACTAAGCCTAGCTTTGGGCCATTATTATTTTTTTTTTCTGCTTAATCTCCCCAAATCCCGCCCCGCCCCCCCACCCGGGACATAGTTGTATATTTTAGTTGTGTGTCCTTCTAGTTGTGGCATGTGGGACGCCACCTCAACATGGCCTGATGAGCAGTGCCATGTCCGCACCCAGGGTCCGAACCAGCGAAACCCTGGGCCCCCGAAGCAGAGTGTGCACACGTAACCACTAGGCCATGGGGCCGTGGGCCATTATTTTTTAAATGTATAGAAAAAGAACTGAAAAATCTGGAATAAAATCTCACAGAACAAAATTCCCACTACTTATAAAACCAAACTTTCAGCCAAAAATATATTTCAAGAAATCCTGTAGCTTTTCAAAATAACTAGAAACAGTACAAAAACTTTTTACAAATCCTGCCTTTTCTTAATTATCAAAGCAATATCTGAAATGGAAACAAGAGAGTGACAGAAAAAGTTGGTCATCTGCAGCAAAAGGAAAACAAATTATGGCTTTGCAAGGTGAGACGTCAACAGGAAAACTAAATTTGTGCTCAGGTATAAAATGAGCATCTTCTATAATGTTCCATCATTATTAGATGCATTCTTATCTATTTTTCTTATTTTGCTTCTAAAATACCAGCTAATAAGAAAGGGCAGAAACAAAATACAGTGACATCTGGTAACAAGAGTCAGCTCTTCTGCAGAACTTTTCATTCATTCAATAAATATTTATCAAACAAATAGTAATATATGTGCTTAGATACAGCAGTAAACAAAAGAGCCAGGCACGTGCGATGCATTCCTATGGTGCTTATCATGGGAACAACCTCTATATTCCAGCAAGTTCAGCAACACTTTGCATATATTATACACTGCCGTAAGGAACATACAGCTCCACCTCCAGGTTATCACCATTGGCAGTTCCAGAAGCTCAAGCCTATCTCGCTCCCAGACCTCCAGGTCATGGGTTTTTACCTACATTCATGAGTCCCTAAAGATTAATGGGTGTGCTGGGGGAATCTGTGAACCCTCTAATATTATATGCAGAATGTGTGTATGTTCATACACGTGTAGATTTTCCTAGACAATGTGCTTTCACTGTATTCTCCAGTGGGCCCATAACTTCAAAAAGTATAAACCACCATTGGTCTAGGTGTAGGAAAATTCCTACAATTCCGCCGTCTTGAAAAGGGTGCTGCCATATACCAATAAGCAGAGCACTTGGCAAATTCTCATGTCACATTTTATAGCCCAGTATTCAACAATTTTATGATCAACAAGTTATGTCTGCTCCTCTAAATTCTGTCCTCTAATGTTTTGAGTACCAACAATCTAGTCAGTCTCTGAGACAAAGACTTTCTTCCCAAAAAACTGTTTATAGAACTTGGGCTCCAGCAACTCTTGCAATATAATCCTTGTGTATAACTAAACCACAGAAAAATAACTCCTTAATTTGTGGTCAGAATAACCACTGCAGAACAACCTACAGTGGGTGGCATGCAACGATCACAATTATAAAGTAACCAAGCAAATAATACACTACATCTATAAGAGATAAAATGTTATAATCCAAAACATACATTGCTATAAATAAAGTCTGTGGTTATTTGCCGAGATACTCTGACTAACATTGCAGTGACAAGGGCTACTCTTAGCTTGTTTTACAAAGGAGTAACTAAAGCTATCTGCCAGCAGACTCAGTGGCACCACATGTATTGTTTGGGCTAAGAAATGAGGTGAACTGCACTGTGTAGTAATGTTGGGAAAATGCTGCCTTTAATATAAACAAACAATGGACTTTCCTTTAGAAGCCATGATAAGGGAGAGGAGGGCAGCGCCATTAGACCCACTAAACCAGCATGCCTGCAATCCGGGAAACCATTGAATAAGAGCAATCAGTGCGTCTAAATGCATATTTGTTGACAGCTATAATCAGATCGTTTCCCCCCAAATTAAAATCACAGATTTTAAAGTTGGGAAGGCTCTAAAAAAATTAGCAAGACAAGAGGACTGAGGATGAAAGAGGGTGTGTGACTTACTCAAGTTCACAAAACAGAACAGAAAGAAACTGAATCTCTTGACTCCCTTACGTTGCCATTCTTACACAGAAAAGTTCTTTTTTTAAAAAAATTAAAACATAATTCACAAACCATACAAATTGCCCATTTAAATAAAGTAATCACTTCAATAGCTTTAAATATATTCACTAAAAAGAGCTGTGCATCCATCATTACAATTTTTGAACATTTTCATCATTCCAATAAAAACTCTATACCCCTTAGCCATCACCCCCTTAAGCCCCTCCCCTATCCTCCCATCCCTAGGAAAACACCAATCTACTTTCTGCCTCTAGATATTTGCCTTTTCTGGATATTTCACACACATGGAATGACATAACATGTAGTCCTTTGTGACTGGCTTCTTTCACTTGGCATAATGTTTTCAAGGTTCAGCTACGTTGTGTCACACGTATCAAATACTTCATTACTTTTTATGGCTAAATAATATTCCATTGTATGGAAATGTATATATAAATATAACACCTTGTATATCAATTTATCTGTTGGCAGGCATTGGGGTTGTTTCCATCTTTTAGCTTTACGAATAATGCTGCTGTGAACATCTGTGTTCAAGTTTTTGAATGGACATACGTTTTCATTACTTTTGGCCGTGTACCTAGGAGTGAGAATTGCTGAATCACATGGTAACTCTGTTTAAATAGCTGAGGAACTGCCACGCTATTTTCCAGTGTGGCTGCATCATTTTATACTCCTCTCATGAGGAAGTTCCTGCTTTTAAAGTCATAACAATTAATCCAATATGAACACAAATCTCTCCTCTTATTTTCTGCTACTAGGTAACTGAATAAAAAAACCAAAGTATTGACAAGTATGTTTTTGTAAAAACCACACATTATTAGTATATGAAATTCAGATGCCAAGTTCAGAACACAGAAAGATAGCTTTAAATTGCTAATTTAAAAAGGCTTACCATGTAGTAAATATTCCCTTTATTACTTAAACCACACGAAAATATTATACATGGGTTAGAGAGGTATATCAAACATTCTAAAACATTGGGAAATCTTAAACACGAATTAAAAAAGATGAATTAAATTTTCTCAAAAACTAAATTAGAATTTATCTAATCAGGTGATAGCTACATACTTTCAGTCATTAGAAGGAAAAAACTATCTATAAAATGGAAAACTGACTGGTATTCAACCAGGCAAAGTAAACGCAGTATGCTGACTTCGAGAAGAAAATGAAAGCTAGCTTCTACAGCCATGTAGTAAAGATGATAAAGTCCAATGGGTTTGCGGTAAGTAACAACTGGGAATAACAACTTTATAAACTACGTAGTCCGCTGCCCATTCTGGGCAGCAGGGAGCTTGCCTTCTCTTAACTGAGTGTGCTTCCTACACAAGGAGGCTGGGGCAAGTCACTGTCTACGACGACTACATGTGAAGCAGAGATCAAAGAAAAATTTGGCCAAGCATCACTAACTCCAATGGGTGTATCTGCCAAGGAGAGAACCCAGAACTTCGGGAAGAGTAGCAGGTAGACAAGTGTCCATGTCAACGTGGGACTTAGGAGCAGAACGAGAGGGTGAAGATCCTCAGAAGATACACAGAAATGGTGCCTAGAAATCTGAACTTATGCCACATTCCAGCCCCTGCCATTGTGCCCCTCTTGTCAGTAGTGGTTACAATCTTCCATAAGGGTCTTCAGCCTCATCACTACAAGCTCTGGACAGCGGTGGCTGACAAAGCAGGAAACACAGTTTACACCACAGGCCAGCACCTTCACAAAGAGATTTCCTTCTACACACGTACATACACACAACTGAAACAAGTTTCCCAAAACAATTAGTCTTGCTATGTGTAATGCATTCTAATATTTCCTATTGTTTTACTAAAAAAAAAGCTGAGACTGACCCAATACATTGTGACATACAGTTTACCAAGGACATATCTCAAAAGAAATGATAGTAATATCAACAGTCAACACTAACTTCGCATATGGGCTGGCAACAACTATGTCACAAGTGTCAGCTTGTGACACGTGACCAACAGTGATTTCAAGGAAGTAAAAGCCTAAAAGGCAAAAAAAAAGTGTGTCTTAGGAGCAACAAAAGAAGGTAATAAGAGCTCAATGAACATTAGTGATTATTATTATGGTAGCAGGAGTCCTGACTTATTCGAAAATAAATTTCAAATAGTATAAAATAAATTAAGACTGAAATACAAAACTATAAAACACTAGAAGAAAACATATGTCAATATTTCTATGGAGACAATGGTCTTTCTAAATATGACAACCAAACTAGAAACTATAAAAGAAAAAATATAGGAAATAGAAAATAAGTAAAATATAAAATATTTTATATAAATAAAATATAGAAACCTAGAAAAATTTTGTATGGCAAAAGTCATCGACAATGAACTGGGAGTAAATAGTTTGAACAGTTATGACAAAGAGCATAAATCAATAGAAAAGTGATGAATTCAAAAGACAAATGAGCAACTGGAATTCGCCAATGAAACTGGAACACAAAATTCACTTTAGAATTAAATAAATGACAAGATGTTGACCATTGCTAATCATCAAAAAGGCAAATTAAAACAATCACATAATATTTTTGCCCATTAGATTGGCAAACATGAAAAATAAAATAACACCTAGAGTTAGACAGAAATAACTAGTTTGTGGTAAATTAGAAATACACATAAGTTTTTAAAGAATGCATATCCCTTCCAGTTCTCCCACTCCAAAGAATTAATCCCAAGAAAATAATCAGATATCATACCAAGATTTATGCAAAGAATTGTCACTGACGTATCATTTATAAAAATAATGAAGGGGCCAGCCTGGTGGCACAGCAGTTAAGTGCGCTCACTCCGCGTCGGTGGCCCAGGGTTCGCCAGTTCAGATCCCAGCTGCGGACATGGCACTGCTTGTCAAGCCATGCTGTGGCAGGTGTCCCACACAGAAAGTAGAGGAAGATGGGCACAGATGTTAGCTCAGGGCCAGGCTTCCTCAGAAACAGAGGA